CATTCATTCAACTTTATTCATTTATTCATCCGTTTATTCGTTCGTTCCTCACTTCATTCATGTGCACAGTTAATCCGATTCCAAAACTTCTGGTTTGCTCATTCGTTCATTCATTCATGCATTCATTCCCTTATATTGGATAATTTACACCGCTTTCGAACCAGATGGCCTTAATGAAGATTTTTCTTTGAAAATTATATCGTTTAATTTTTTATCATTTCAGAACAATTCGTGGGGATGTGGAAGTTCAGTTTGAATTTTGAAATGTTTATGTGAATTAACCATTATCTTAAACAGCTTTACGAGAGGAAAGCCCTTTATATCTGCAAATAAACAAAGAGTAACGTTGAATTGAAAATATTCATTTTCTTTCATTCAGTACTATGATCAATGTTTTAAATTCAGTTTCATCTCCGATTTGCTAGTGTTATTGGTATAGATCATTGGCGTTTCTACGATGTTTGCCACACCTCCCTCCTCAGAATTCATTCATTCGTGTATGCTTTGATTAATTGATTGATTGATTGATTCATTCATTCATTCATCCATCAATTCACTGTTAACCTTATTCCAATTTTGGATACCCTGTCAACGAATAATGCATTATTTTATTTTCAGTGATAAAGATGTTATAGGCCAGGTTATGTTAAGTTAAGTTTTAAATCAAGTTAAGTTTTGACTGAAATTAAGTTTAGATGATTAAAAACAGTTTTAATTTCGAAAGGTAAGCCTGACTTTGATTTTTAAAACATGTTCATTATGATCAATGCTTTAATTTCTTGCATTTTAAACGAGGTTTGCAACACCTTCCCTCCTCAGAATTCATCTCATTCATTTCTTTCATTCATTCACTGTTTGCCAAGTTAACCATATTTCAAATTTGGATATCCCTGTCAATGAATAGTGCAGCTTAAAGGGACTGGTATGGAAATAGCTGAGTTTCTGAACAGATCAGTATGTACAATTTAAAGTTGCCTTATCAGTTTGAAATAGCTAAGGAATACTGCAATACTTTGCAGACTATGGACTAATCAGTCGGAGAAAAGTAAAATGTTAAACTGTATTATTTTATTTTTTCGGTGATATGGATGGCCAAGTTAAGTTTTAAGTTAAGTTAAGTTAAGATAAGATGATATCTTGATGTCCTGATGTCTATTGAACTTTGAACTTCATTTGCTAAAGGTAAGCCTTGCTTTGATTTCAAAACTTGTTCATTATTTTTTATTCATTATAAAGATCAATATTTTTAGTTTCACATAAATGTGTTTTTACAATATTTTGTAATACATTACCTTGTGTTTTGTGTATTTGTAAGACAAATAGAAGGACGCATAGAATAGGAAGTTGTTTCGACACTTGTTATGTAATAAACTCAGAAGTATTACATCCATATATTTTTCTTATTTTTTAAACTATTACTTTGTGTTTAACTGTATTATTTTATTTTCGGTGATATGGATGGCCAAGTTAAGTTAAGTTTTGAATGAAGTTAAGTTAAGTTTAGATGATATCTTGATGTCCTGATTGAACTTTATTTGAACTTTATTGCGAAAG